AACGTTTTCAAAAACGAATTAAAAACGAAGAAGATATCATACAATACCACCCCGTACCAGGGTGGTATTGTATGGTATTGTGTGGTATTTTTTTGTCCTGTAATTTGTTCACCCAGAAATTTGTAGATCCAGTAGATCATGATGAACTCATCCCTGCTGTGCAAACGTTTTCAAAAACGAATTAAAAACGAAGAAGATACCATATGGTATGCAGTTGGTACCGAGAGGCCAGAATTTTTTTTTCCTAAAAAAATATTGAAAATTGATCTCATTTTGTAGAGCACGGTGAACTCGTTTCATCTGTGCAAAAAAAATTAAAATCCGAGTTAAAACGAAAAAGATATGAGTCAATTAAGAAAGCTAGTGAAAATAAAAATAACCTTTAATTCTCCATCCTTAGATCTGGATTTTCTAAATGAAGGGTCCAGATTTGGTTATTGATGGGTGCATAACCCATGGTTATGCACCCTATCTTGAGCCATTGAGTACAAGGTCGCTCTCAGGCATAGGAGATTGTTAGAAACCCAGTTTTCGTGGGTTTCCTTATTTAGTTATGGTAGGATAATTATTTTTATGGTTAGTAGAGATTTAATAGAATTAGATTATTTATTATGTTTCTGTGATATTTTCCTATAAATATATAATCGTGCATTCATTTAGGATTAAGTAGAAATTGATAGAAGAATTATCCCCAAACCCTATTCTCTTCTCTCTCAACCTCGTCTGTCTTTCTTCCCCAAAGGCTTAGGACGTTCTTCCCCAAATTCTTCTCATAATTCCCTAATTCTATCCTTCTAATCCCTAAATCCCATTATATCTATCCAGTTACGTCAATCATAAAGAATCATAATAAGCGAGTTCTAATAGACTCTTCCTTGAAATTTGGGTGTGTCTGGACATATCCCTAGGTAGCGGTGGTTAAACCAGTTGTTGGGTCGTCGTTCGTTCTTTCTTCTTCTTGAGTCGATTCTTCCTCCTATGGACTTGTCTTGAGCTTATTAAGCGACTTCTAGTAGACTTCTTCGTCATTAGACCTCTTCTTTCTCATGAATGCTCATTATTCTTCTCTTTATAGCTCTTATATTCGTCAAGCGTTCTGCAATGTTTGATCCAAACATCCTTAGGTTCCTTTATACCTTCAAAACCATTAAAAAAACATACCCAGAAGGAATCAAAGAGTACTAGGACATAGCCTATGTCTATGAAAGGCTCATTGATTAAATATTTATGATTTAGATAGGAAATTCTTTGAAATGACCAAAGATTTTTTTTATAGAAGGGGGAAATATATCAAGAATGAGAGTGACATGTAGTCATCTTACCACTAATGAGAATATCTCATTGTAGCTTTTTTTTTATGGGAACTCTCTTGCAACCAGCTGAGCTTTAAATTTAATGCTCTCTGCAGATAATATTTCTTCCTTCTTCTTCAAGATCCACTTATTTGTAATAATCTTCCTTTCATGTGGTAGTCTGGCAAGCTCCCAAGTCGTATTCCGATCAAGGGATTTTATCTTAACTTTTATTGCAGCAGGCCACATGCTAGTTGCTCTCCATATGAAATGGCTACTCTGTAGGATAATTTCTCACCCGTATTCACCTCTTCAGCAACCTGAAAAGCATACACCACGATATTCTCAAAGCCATACCTCCTTAGAGGTATCCCTGTACTGGTTCTCTTTGATCTACCAAAAGCTATAGAATGTTGAACCTGTGCACCGGACTCTGAAATTTTTTGCACATTAGAAACATCCAAATGTTATCTTCTCTATTTTGGGGTTGGGTCTCACTCTCATCTAGAGTAGTGTGTAGCTCCACTTGTTTATCAACATTTATGCTATGTTCTACAACAATAACTATCAACAATGGGTTAAATGTGGATTTCTCATTAGGTCTCTACTAAGTATAACTCTATATGCAGAAGATGACTAGACTTGATATCCCTTAACTCCATCCCTAAAACCCACAAATACACCATTCTTTTTAGCTCTTGGATTCAACTTACCTTCATCCATATGATAATAAATAGAACAACCAAAAACTTTCAACAAAGAGTAATTAGTTGTCTTACCAGACTACACCTCATAAGAAGTTTGTCACTTGATACCTAGACGGAGAAAATCCCCTTATAGCCCAGATTTTGGCTATTTGGGTAACCCCTTCTATGGAAATTCAGGACAAACCTCAAATATCATATCAATGCCATGATTTCATCTTGATTGTTTGCTTTCGTCGTTCTGGATTAACTTCTGAGGGATTGCTTTTTGCAACCTTACTCGATTGATTAAGAGAGATAGGTTTCCTAACTTATCATGACAATCATTAGTTAATCGATTAAGAGAGTTGGGGTTTCCTGACTAATTGCATCCTGCTCGCGGTATATAATCACATCTTCACACTAGAGTTCCATTCGTTGTATCATGACACGAGACTAGGGAGAACAATATCCAGGTGAAGCCTTCTCAAATCGAACTCACCATAATTACTTTGTTTGCTTGTTCATTGTAGTTTTTTAGCTTTCACATCAAATCGTTACCTATATAATATATAAACGACTGAAGTAGGGATAGATAGAACGCCTCGGGTTAATATTAAAGCACTTACCCTATTCTACACCTGACTATTGGTTGCACTTGACCTATAGTTGGGAATTGTGTAGTTAGGTTTGAGTCAATGAGTTATTTGAGCTATGAGTTATCTACAAATAACTGAAAAAGAATTATTTGAAATAACTCCTACACCTCGTGATATTTGAAAATAACTTATTATTGCCAAATATGAATATCACGTGTCAAATACTACACATGAATAGTTTAGATTTCAGACAAATGAAATATTTTAAATACCACATTGCTAAATGATAATTAATCTATCCAAATCACCCTAGTAACTTCAAATGGTAGTAAATGTGTTGCCTTTTTCAACTACTCGCTGGATCGCTTTTGTAATCAGCGATTAATATAAATAGCCTTTAAATCTGGCAATATAATATACCAATTCACTTTTGACATCAGTGAACAACCCCAAACTCTAATAGTTTAGAAAATTTTGACCAAAAGTGTTGTATTTTGGAAATTTGATAGTGGAGCAAGAGCAATGGGATTATACTATTATGGGGGAAAAATCCCATGTTGCCCTACAACTACAAAACCACGTGAGTAGAAATGATTTTTAACTTTTCTCTGGTCAATGGCAGAGAAAGGTGGTAATGGAGCAGTGAGTATAAATGATCAACTTTACCGTGGTCAATGGCAGAGAAAGTTGGTAGTCGAGAGCAGGGTCGACGTAAGGGCAATAATGCACCTAACACAAACAGCAAACATAAAGACGGCACTCTGTGTTAGTGAGTGGTATAAGATCCAGCAAAACCTTCTCCCAACAACTCGGAGTTGTTGGGATTAATTGGTTCTTGACATGGTATCAGAGCCTAGAACCGAAAGGTCATGTGTTCGAATCTCCACGACCCCCAATATTAACCGTTGTCTTTCAAGCACATAGTATGGTGGGCCTGTGCAAACTTCAAGCCCATGTGTTGGCTTTCGTTTGAGGGGGTGTGTTAGAGAGTGATATAAGATCCAGCAAAACCTTCTCCCAACAACTCGAGTTGGTGGGATCAACTGGTTCTTGACACTCTGATTCTCATGGACTCTGTCTCGAGTTGGTGGGTGACACTCTGATTCTCATGGACTTTGTCTTTGGGTCTCTCTGTTCCACCTTCCCCCTTCTAACCAAATTACAGAGCAGCCATGAAAGCGCTTCCAACTTCAACCTCTGCTCCATCCCTTACCATCCGAACTTCAACCATCCATGCCCTTTTCTCCACACCCCATTATTCGCCAACCCAACAACCCATTCTTAGAACAACATTACCAAAAAACTCCAACCTCCTTCTTTCTCTCCACGCCATACCCCCATTGTACAACACTACTTCCTATGTTTCAGTGGAGAAGTTCGATTGGTACGCGCAGTGGTACCTGTTGTAAGGAAGCCAGTCATTAGTCACAGTAGAAAGAAAAAAAGGAAGGCGTGGTCCTCAAGTTTCTGTAGGTGGAAAGAAATATCAAGTGCAGGGGTGGTAGATTTGGCTCAGCAATCGAATCATTTCAAGCAAAGCAATTAAGGAAAGGATTTCAAAAGAAGAGGGAATTACCCTGCTTGAAGATCAACGACTAGCTACTATGAAGTACAAAAAGCGAAGATGCAAAGAAGAAAGTAGCTTTTCGGTGGTTTTACTCGTTCAAGAGCACAGAGGAGATTTGTGAGCAACGAGTGAAAAGAAAAGCAGCTCTAATTCAAGATCAGGAGTGATAAAAAATTAGAGGGTGTGCTGGAGGCACAGTAGCTGGATAGCTGAGTTGATAGTTGTGTAGTGATCTTCGGATTAGCCTTTCCAGGAGTGGTGGGTTAATCGAACCTTGGAGTGTGACTCTAAGTCGGAGTGTGAAAGCAAACAATCATAGTGAATTAACGAGAATCACATATCAGTGATCTCTCGTTCGTGGAGTAGTCAGAGTTGGGAATCATTTTCACCTAACTCTGGAAACCACGTAAAAGTGCCTTTTCTGTGTGATTCATTTTCTGTCTGTTCTTGACTATTACTCTACTCTGGTTTTGCCTGGTTACTTCTTTGAGAACAGGGGATATTCAACCTCGAAGACAACAGGCTGAGAGGGAAGTCTGTTTGCAAAATGCACAGACTTGAGTAGTGGAAGATAAAAACTCTAGAAGGCCTAACTAAGCCATCGACCTGCTCTGGGCTAAAGTTAGCAAGCCCAATAATTTTAAGCCTGCATAATTCTTTCTCTGTGTTAAGATCAAGTCCTTGTTTCATTTTTCCACCTTTGCGATTTCGATAATCACTAATCTTAGCTGAAGGATCGATTAGGGTTGCAGGTGTACTAAAAAAATCAGAGGAAGAGGTGTAGGCATCTCGCGCTCGACGCCAGCAACAGTACCCGGTGTGCGATTTGGACAAAGGGGCGCCGCGTGGGTTGAAAGTGATGGGGATGGATGTGGTGGTGTGGTGGGACGGGAACGAGAATGCATGGAAAGTGTTCGACGATATGTGTCCTCACAGGTTGGCTCCCCTGTCTGAAGGAAGGATTGATCGATGGGGGAGCCTGCAATGCTCTTATCATGGCTGGTGTTTTGATGGCTCCGGCAGCTGCCAGCTCATCCCTCAAGCTCCTCTCGACCGCCCTCCGGTTAGTTGTTTCATTTCCATCCATTGTTATGCCATCTACATAGGAAAACATTGGAGTAATCGAATCGTAGCTGAACTTGCAATTTGCAGCTCACACCAGCAAAAGGGCTTGTGTTGCTACTTATCCAACCACATAGTGCATCATGGCATTATGTGGTTCTGACCGAACTCTGATCCTGAACACAGACACGTCTTTGACAAGAAAAATCCTCCCTTGGTTCCGGAGTTAGACGATCCATCATTCACTACGACAATGAGGAGCCGAGATATTCGATATGGGTACTCGTTAGCTCATGGCTAAGTGTTGTTCTTTTAAATTTTTGTATTCACTCTTTGCATTCATCTTAGGTATGATTTACTGGTTGAGAACCTTGTGGATCCTGCTCATCTTCCGTATGCACATTATGGACTCACACCAACAATGCCAAACAATGGTAGGTTTCAATTATCTCTCATGAGCCACTTATGGGGTTGGAAGTAACACTTAACTCAGCTGTCCTGTTTCTCAGAAAAGCGAGATGAGGAAGGGGGAAGACCCATGGAATTCATGGTGAACAAACTTGATATAGATGGATTTGAAGGAAGCGTGGAATCTTTCGGTGAGTTTCGATTCACTGCACCATGCCTCTTCTTTCTCCCAACTATAGCTGATGAACCCTGATAGAAACCTATTTCTGGGTTCTATCGATTGGGTTGAGAAATTGGGGATTGAAGGAGATTTTAGGGATCGAGAAGATATTAGGGATAGAGATTGAGAATTTGGGGAAGAACAAGAATAGAATAGCCGACGGCCAGAATAGGGAGAGAATTTTAGAGGATTAGGGTTTAGCAGATTTTCTTAATATGCTTCCTATTGATTCTGAATAAAACGCAAAGTACATATTTATAACGAAAGACTGCAAAAACCTAATAAACTAACCTAATGTGACTCAAAGACTACTAACCATCTACACATAATATAATACACCGAAGGGAAAAACGAGAGCCCCATTTCAAATTTCCTGCAACGAGAGTGAAAGTAGGAAGGACATTTTGGTCTTCACAATTACTTTTTTTATTCATTAAAAAGATAGGTACTGGGATTTGAACCATGATCATTTTAAAGAAAAGCAAGGATCATAACCAATCACACCAAATACATTTGTTGTATCTTTTTAAATTAAAAACATATAATAGCTGGGAGGAAAAAACCTTTCCCCAATTTCAAATTCCCTGCTCCAGGAGCGTTTGTAGGAAGGGTAGAATAGGGAGTGTCAATTTTTTTCTCTTTCCTCTGTGGAACGGGCCAACTTACCGTACACATGCGGATTTGAACGGGTCCAGGAGTAACAATTTTTTTCTTTAAGCCCTTTTATTTCTCCGTGGTGATAAAATATATATGAAAATGCAAAAATAATACTTCTTTTTATTGCTAAAAATAAAAAATTTAACAATAAACTAATGCATGATATCTATTGGGCTAACCGCTAACCATAAAATAAAAGAGTTGAATGGGCCTGACCTACATGGGATTTGGCCATCAAGTAAAACAAATGAACATCATTGGTTTGTCATTCTAAAACAAACTATTTTCTCTTGCATAATATATATTATGCTATTATTTTATATCTTAGTGACTAAAATATAATGTATTTTAAAGTTATTCAATGGTTCAACCTCGACCAACCCAATTAGTCCAATTTTTATCATTTCAAATATATTTTTTTATAATTATTTGACATCATAATGATCAAATTATAGTGTATTTTATAGGGAATCGTTTGGTATTTGTTAGTAAAAAACTAAACATAAAGATCTATTTGGTTATTTTAAACATTAAAACGATCCTATACATTTTCAGTTCCTTTTGAATTTCTATGGTTTTATTCCCGTATAAGTGATGTGCAAATGGCGAATTGTAGTCGTCTCTTTTCTTTCAATATTTTTTATTTTCAAATAGAAAATTTAAAAGTAAAGAATAATTAGAACTTGGCATGGGTCGGTCAAACAGGCTGAATTTCAAGTTTTGGCCCGTTTGTTTTATGCATTGCAAATTTATTAGCATGTTGATGGAAATGGCTTGGAAAAAAGACATATAAGTTGTACCTTTGCAGAAATGTCCTCAAATGTTTGAATGCTTTGTGAATCAGGTTCTGTGACTTTTGTGATGGTGTATGTGCTTGACGATTGCTCGATGTTGTAACTACTTAATTTGAGAGTAAATCTTTTGATTTTCACTATGAGTTGTGATACCAGTTCTGGTGGTTGCAGCATGTTGTCGTTGTTGGCCTGTAAAAGTTGTCCCGCCGTGATCCTAAATACCTTTCTTTCCTTTTTAACAAATTGTGTAGTAGTACTATGAAACGGACCACCCATGAACGCTACGCTTATTATGGTCTGTTCTTACTTCCGGTGGTGAGAAATTGTGAATTGAGAATCATATTCGCCTACCGCACTGTGTCTGGCTGGTGGCTGCTTACTGTGCTCTCTAGAGTTATGAAACAGACTACCCATGAACGTTACCCTTAAGAGTCCATAACTTTGCGAAAAACCAAATTTAGGCAATAAAAGGTGGTGGATGTGTGATGATTTTTTATGGCTTAATTATTTGTGAATTGGATATCTGATCTTTGTATGATTAGAGGGGATGTTTGCTTAATAGAATAATCCATTTTAATTCATGTTTATTTTTAACTTGAACTTTAGTAACTCAAAACCTTCGAGACACATATCACCTACTGCATTGTATCATTTTGCCGTGTTGTCAAACTTCTTTGTTGCTGCTGCTGCTTTTACACTAACAGGGGAGTTAAGAACCCATGAATGTTTCTGTTTGACACAAACAAGAGGACTTACTTCTAAATCGTGCACTAAAGATGATTGGAGGAAACATCTATGTTGCAGTTGATATACTGGAGACCATAACAAAAGCAACGTATAACATCAAAACCAACCATCTGAACTATTAGCATTGTTTACTCTTTTTTCGTGGTTGAGTCTCCTTCAAAAAATTTAGTTTGATTTTAGAAAATTTTGCTTCTGCAGTCCTGTCTTGCCACCAACGCGTTCAGTAGATGGAGATGGCTGAAGCGAAGGCTATTTTTGTGTTGTTGTTGCTGGTTTAGGGATCAGTTTGTGAAAAAGAGGGAGAAGAGAGGGGGAAAGGGAAATGCAGGAGAGGGGGATAACTCTTTTCTCCGACAAAAATGGAGTGAAGAAAGGAATTATGATCAGTAAGGATATGGTTATCTTACATAACGGTCTCTATTCTGTTTGAATTGAGCTTTGGAGGCAGTGATAAGGACGAGCTGCAACCAATTCATAGCGATAAGAATGCTATGAACTGTGATCATGTCTTATTTCAAGTTAGAAGGTAGTTTCAGTATAAGGATTATTTAATTTGACAAGTTGTTTGTCCATGATTCTTGGTAGTTTCAGTGCCATTCTAGCCATTCTGTAATTTTTTAGAATTGATGTGCGAGTAATGACTTTCACTTAGCTTCAACTATTATGTGTGTATTTATTGGCATGTGATAGAATTCTCTTTTCATTTTCTTTGAACTCAGTTTCATACTCGAATTGTATCATTTGTACATAGGCAAATCATGCTCGAGATGACAACTCGCTGATATGGCTGGTGCAAGGAATGAAGCCATCATTAGAATTCAGACCGACAACGGGGAGGGATGCCCAGGACTAATTCAATGATGATTGATGATGGTATAATAAAAACTGCAGTCTGCATCAGCACCAATTTCTAGGCCTAAGTAAAGGTATTCAACCCAGAACTTTGCTTGGCGCTAAAAATTGCCCTCACCCAACCTTGATCCTGTTTGACCCACTTCTGAAGAGTCAAGAAATATGACTAATCCTCTCCGTTCGTATTTTCTTATTGACTCTTTCTGACCCTTTAGGTTGGGGCGGGTCGGGAAGAATCGGATTAGTTGGTCGGTCCTAATCAAGTGGGATCCCAATCCCTTCACTCTCACTTGCTTTCTCTCCCATTCCACAAGTGGGTAATATACAGTAATCGGCCAACGGGCCGGGTAATAAGCTAGTATCTAATAGAATCCTAATAATAGTAATTATGATAAATCCTGAAAATCGGGTTTCTATCATCCCCTCCCCATTGAGACCAACCTTTCCCTCAAGGTTGACCGACTCGACCCATTTCTCCACCTTCCTCGTACAATCCGCGCTCCGGTATTGCGCCTTGCCCTCATAGCTACTAGCTTGCTCCACATGTGATTCGGACTGCATATGCTGATTAGTGCCCAAGAAGAGCCCAACAAGCCACTTCTCGCATGGATATGCGGAGTCACCAAAGAAGAGCTGGCTCTCTCTAATTGCTCTGCTTCCTGATAATCGGCTTTAATATATCTGATTCTTGAACTTTATGTGATTATCCTATGGTATGTTTAATCCGATTGGTGCTATTTTAGGGCTCGCTAACCCGGGAATGGTTGAAAAAAAACCATTACTGCCTAGTGCCATGAGTTTGATGTATTACAGGTAAAGAAAATACGAAAAGGAGAAGTTTCACAGGCAAACGATTCTCGAATCACTAGCGGATTAAAGGGACAGCGCTTGAGAAGCAGCTTCAAAGGAAGGACCGGACCTGGAGTGGGCCGGAAGTGACCCTACTGGGCTGGAAAATTGTGGCCCGGAATCCGCTACAATGAAGGAGTTTGGAACGCAGCGCAGTGGAGCATAAATGGGCCAAAAGAATTTGTCCAGGGAGAGGGGGGATTTTTTGGCCTGTCGACTTTTCATTTGCTGGGGAATTAAAGGAGGGGGGAGCTGGGCGGAGCCGGGGTAAAACCCACTGGGTTTGAAAAACTCAAACCCAACCCAACCCGTTGGGTATCCGCGGGTTCATGGGTACCCACGGGTTTTGTCGTAAAAAATTTACAATTATAAGTTTTTATCAAAATTAAAGTCAAATATCAATCTCTCAATACAAATTATCCATATATAAAACACCATTCTAGAAAATTCAAGCAAATACAAATTAACTATCCAAATTGTTCAACACCAATCTAGAAAACTCAAGAAATTGAAGCAAATCACAAATTATCAATAAATAACATGTTTAATTGAAAGCTTATTCCTTTCAAGTAAGTTTCTTTACTCTCCACTCCATAACATCAACTTCATTCTACACAATTAAAAAGAAAAAATTAGACATGTCTCCACAAACATAAATAAGATTAGTTGTTTAGAATATTAAATATACCGAAAAAATTAATTATATGGGTGGGCGGGTACCCACGGGTCGGGTTTACCTAAACCCAAACCCAACCCAACCCGGTGAATAGTGAACGGGTTTAAACCCAAACCCGGCCCAAAACCCGTCAACACGGATTTTACCCGCGTTGACCGGGTTGGGTCGGGTGGGTACCCGTGGGTTCGGGTTTTGTTGCCATCCCTAGTTGGAGAGGAATTAATTGGCCAGGGGGATAATAGGAGGCGGCTTGGGACACGCAATCTTCTTGGAAAAAAGGAGGATTTTTTTCAGAAATAGCACTGTTTAAAAAAAGAATTCCAAAAATACCACCCAACTCCAAAAAATTCCAAAAATACCACATTTTTCAAAAACCGTCATCCCACTCTACGGTTTACACGAAAACCGCTTGTCGGGGGCGCGGTTTTCAATGCAAACCGCGGGGCTAAGGGGCTGTTATAAATAAAAAAAATTGGACCAAACCGCTGGGTGGGTGGCGGTTTGGCCCAAAACCGCCACCCCACCCAGCGGTTTGGTCCAAATTTTTTTTTTTTCGATCAACTCCTAACTTCGGCCGAAACTTCAAACGAACGTAACTTTGTACTCGGGTATCCGATCGTAGCGATTTGTTTTTCATTTCGCATAACTTTTCAAGATCTACAACTTTTACTAGGATGAAATTTTCAAAACAGGAATTATTTGTGGATATACGGGACCTTGAGAATAACTTTATCTTTACTTTTCACAAATCTATGTACATTTTGAAATTATGATTGTATTAAAAGTTGTAGATCTTGAAAAGTTATGCAGAATCAAAAAAAAAATTCATGACGTTTGGATTTCGGAGCACAAAGTTATGGCCGTCCAAAGTTTGACGAAAGGAGAGACCCGGCAGTTTGCGGCTTGCAAGATCTCAAAAGGTTTGCGGCCTCCATTTTTTGAATCCGAATAACTTTTTGAGATCTTGCAAGCCGCGAACCTTCGGGTCCCGCCTTCGTCTCGAAAAAACGTCATTTGCAACCCCGAACGAGTTTTTTTTATTTCGTCAAACTTTGGGCGGCCATAACATTTTGCTCCCAAATCCGAATGTCATGACTTTTTTTTTATTCCGCATAACTTTTCAAGATCTACAATGTTTTACATAATCATAATTTCAAAATGTACATGGATTTGTGAAAATTAAAGGTAAAGTTATTCCCAAGGTCCCGTATATCCACAAATAATTCATGTTTTGAAAATTTCATCCTAGTAAAAGTTGTAGATCTTGAAAAGTTATGTGAAATGAAAAACATAATCGCTACGATCGGATACTCGAGTGCAAAGTTACGTTCGTTTGAAGTTTCGGCCGAAGTTAGGAGTTGAACGAAAAAAAAAAAATTGGACCAAACCGCTGGGTGGGGTTGCGGTTTGCATAGAAAACCGCGCCCCCGACAAGCGGTTTTCGTGTAAACCGCAGGGTGGGGTGGCGGTTTTTGAAAAAGGGTGGTATTTTTGGAATTTTTTGGGGTTGGGTGGTATTTTTGGAATTCTTTTTTTAAACAGTGGTACTTTTGGATTTTTTCCAAAAAGGAGGGCAGCGCACAAGAGCGAACAACAGGCGACTAGCTAGCGAGGGACAGCAGCAAGCTATCGCGAGGAACAAGAGATCGCAGTGCATAATTCAAAATCACTATTTTCTTTCGCTCGTGATTAGTTCAATGATGAATATGAACATGATTGTGTGTTTTATTTTTATCATGAACTAAACCCCAATTTTTGGGGGAAACACCATAGGATGAAGCTATTTCTATACTTGATGGATTGATTCATATTTCTTTTCTTCCAATCTCTATTGCATGGAATTTCTTAATACTTTGTGTTGATTGGCCACCAATACAATGATTTGTAGTTAATTAGGTTATTAGCGACAGTGAAACCCTAATGACTGAACATATTTCATGTAACATAGTAGCTTATCGAAACGACAGTGGATTAAATAAGGTGCTATGCAATCTTAATAAGGATATCGGTCTTCAGGCTAAATAATTAATTCATTGAGCTATGACAGTAGGATTGAATTAATTGTTTAGTACGTAGTAATTCCCGACAGGGATAGCTAGCACATTAGTGATATCCTGGCTGTAGATAATTGGATTAAACTGATTGGAATATGTGAATTAATTTTGATATGATAGATAGTGAGTCCCGGTGTTTCTCCCAAGCTTTCTACATTGAATTTCTCCCGACAGTTTTCATTTGCTTAATTTGTTTAGTTTATTTTGATTTTAGAAATTAGTCTCATTAATCTATTTTCACTTATAGTTTGCTCATAGAATTGATATATTATAAGGTTGTACCAGTCCCTGAGAGACGATACCCGGACTTTCCGGTTTTACTACGAGATAGGATTGAGGCATTACGCTTTTGCCCTATCAAGTTTTTGGCGCCGTTGCCGGGGACCGCCATACCTTATTTTTGTTGATTTTAGTGAGTGAACTATTTTGATCTGGGTGTTAGTGTGCAGGAGAATTTTCAGGTTTATCCTCCTCGTGCATGCCTAGGAGGACGACTGGCAATTTACTGCCACTAGATCCGGAGATCGAGAAGACCTGCCGACAGAACAGGAAGCAGGTCAAGTTAGGGAAGCAGCCAACCACAACTCCTAGGCCTTCCCTAACCCATAGTCGTCAACAGAGAGGGCATGCTTCATCACCTGTCGTCCCTACACCACCTACACCACCACCACCACGCGACATCGAGCCTGTCATCATGGCAGACCAGGATCGTTCGATCAGGGCTCGCTTGAATCGAAAGACTGGAGCCCGAGCTTCATGTGTTTTCATTCCGGCTGGGGATGCAACCATGGAGATTACCCCAGCATTCATCAACATGATCACCAACGGGTATACTTTCTCTGGGGTTATCAATAAGGATCCTCACGAACATCTTCGTCGATTCGTGAGCATATGTGATACGATGAAGAGCCCTACAGTGTCTGATGATGCAATTCGCCTACGGATGTTCTCATTCTCCCTGATCTAGAATGCATCACACTGGTTTCAGAACTTAACACCACGTTCCATCACGACATGGGCTCAACTTGAGAAGGTCTTTCTGGATAAGTACTTCCCACCTGCCTTGGCAATG